TACTACCATATTACGAGGATAGTCAGAATTTAGTAGTCACTAGTACATCCTTTACAGTTTATAGTCTGATCGGTTATTTATCCAGATTAATATCATCACTAAAACAAATCAATCCTTCACAGATTACGGAGGCCCTGTAGCGTGACAATTGTAACTGCATCTGCTTCGCGGTGACCCTAACATGGACCAACGTGTTGATGAAGGTAAGCAGGACCACTAATTGATGGCCGTGAATACTTCTCCAACTGGTTGTGTTTCTATAAAACATAAAACATGTATTTATCCATCTCAAAAGTAGCAATAAGCTATATCTACTACAAACTCTGTGAAAACTGTGATGTCTAATTATAAACCAANGGTCGGGGGGTCTTGCCATGATTGAAATACATAATATAACACCTGTCTGTGTCTGTACACTTTAGCTTGAATAATTGAAGTTCAAGCTAGAAATATATTCCAGGTGAACTGACACTTGTTTCATTTTATACATGTTCATGTATGTAGGAGACAGATAGTGCTGAAGGGCAATAACGGGACCGTTGTGTAGGGGTGATAGAGTAATCGACGGGGTGTTGATGTGGAGGGGTGATCAATTGACTGATAAGGTTAAAGGGTGAATAAGCTACAATGTATGGGCAATGGTAGTGATATGAAGTGATGCAGATGCTTTGGGGAGGGGTGATAATATGAGAGGGGGACGTTATGGGAAGATTGAGGGAAACAACTGTATCGCTATTAGGAGGGTGATAAGGTTAAGGAGTTGATACGCTATGGACAATGGTGATAATATGAAGTCGCTATGGGAATGGGTGAGAATTTGAAACGGGATGCTATGGTAAGATTACGGTAAAAATATACAAGATATAGGTCTATGAGGAGATCTAGAGGTGGTGATGAATGGGTGGGGTTACTATGGGAAGGGATAGCATAGTGTTGTGTGACGCGGTGTTGTTGTAGCTGTGTACATTGTATGTGGGGGAGGGGTAGACATGTAAGTATGTATAACTGCTTTGTGGAGGGGTGATAGTGCATATGGGTGGGGTCATTAAGGAAACGGAACATAATGTAAAGGTTCTCAATGGGAAGGGCAGATAATGTGAATGGCTGGTTTGGTCGGGCGAACGTCCGACTCCTTGACGGACCAGCAACAGCTTGTGACCTCTAACACGATAAACCAGACTGGATCAGCTGGTGCAAAAATGTTTGACGAAGGTTAAATATGGTGTATACAGCAAGATTAGGATCACATGTATCACAGTATAACCTCGAACGTTTCTTTCAAACTTATATGCCTTCATACCGCATGTTACCTATAACCCTGACTTGTAAACTATCCGCTGTATATGTACATGATTCACTGACGTTAATGTATGTATCGCGATATATAATTGTATACATGAAGGACGAAAACAGCCCTGAACTATTTCGTCTACTGCATAGTAAAAACCCACATACACCTGTATCTTATATACGTGGCAAACCCAGTGAATACACTAATTGTTACACAGGTGTGTATACCTTTTACACGTTTATGAGGGATTGTCTTGAATCCAGCTGACAGTCTTGGATAACAATTGTGTCAGTTGTATACTTTTAAGTTTATATATAGACAGATCAGAGCTTAACCATGGATGATTCTGTTATGGCGAAGACGGACACAGGTTAGTGGTATCTTATCTATGATAATTAGAAGCTGTTTTCCCAGAGCAACTACAGCAATGACGTGTCCTCTTCTTAAGTTCATTTCTGTGAGTTAACCATTTGGAGACTTTCAACCTGTTATCTTGGTACAAACTGTATATATATTCAGTAAAAATAGAAAAGTTCTCAATTTCTCTGTAACTCCACATCAATTCAGAAAAACCCCATACTTGATCCTTAATCGAACACTATTGTATCTATTTATAGCGAGGACTTGACATAAAGAACTATAGAATATTGGTTTAAAAGGAAAGAAGAAAAAATAATGTATCGTTATTGTGGAATATTTAAACGCACTTCACATACATAACTGAACAATTTTCTCAGTGTATGTTTGTTAAATGGAACTTGAATTATTGTTCAGGGTGTCAAATGAGCATTGTACTTTATAATGAAAAAAAATCGCTGTCTTGATTTATTGCTGAAGATTTTTTGTGTGTCAGTTGTTTTAGTTTTTAATTATGTATATCAGTTCTAGTATTAATTTGGCCAGATTGACAAAAGAAAATATGTCGATGGTGAGAGGTTAGTCACAAGTCATTTTGATATCTATTTCTGACATTCGTCATTTTTATTTATTGACATATATCGATTTAATGATTGTGTTTGTTGGTCGACTTTGTTTTGGTAGTCATTTAATTAAATAACTTGGCAATACATTAGTTCGTGCAATTTCGTAAAGACAGTAAGATACTACTACTATACGTGAAACTATCCATGGGACATAGCAATCTCTACTAAAGTTGTAGGTCCTCTCCAGGAGACATAACAATATCTACCAGAGTTATCGGTCCTCTCCATGGGACATAGCAATCTCTACCAGACTTGTCGGTCCCCTCCAGGGGACATAACAATCTCTACCAGAGTGATCGGTCCTCTCCATGGGACAACGCGATCTCTACCCAGAGTTGGCGGTCCCCTCCAGGGGACATTACAATCTCTGCCCAGAGTTAGCGGTCCTCTCCATGGGACATAGAAATCTCTACCAGACTTGTCGGTCCTATCCAGGAGACATAACAATCTCTACCCAGAGGTGGCGGTCGCCTTCAGGGGTCATTGCAATCTCTACCCAGAGTTATCAGTCCTCTCCATGGGACATAGCAATCTCTACTAAAGTGGTCGGTCCTCTCCAGGAGACATAACAATCTCTACCCAGAGTTGGCGGTCCCCTTCAGGGGTCATTACAATCTCTACCCAGAGTTATCGGTCCTCTCCATGGTACAACGCGATCTCTACCCAGAGTTGGCGGTCCCCTACAGGAGACATATCGATCTACCCAGAGTTGGAGGTCCTCTCGGTCGTCTATTAACGGCCAAAGCCAATATCCTTGGCAAAATCTGTTATTTTGACCATATAAATACATAGCAGTCTCAGCACAATTTTAAATATATTCTGTCATTCTGTGGAGAATACCCACAGCAAGTTAGATAAAAAAAAACTATTATGTTTAATTGCACTTTATTTAAGACATACAGGTACTTTTGCATGCTTGACCCGTACAAAATTGTCATTGACAAGAGAGATAACGGTCCTCCCCATAGGACATGGAAAACTCTACTTTAAGTTGTCTGCCCACTCGAGAGGAGAAAGCAAATTCTACCCAGAGTTGTCTGTCCTCTCCAGGGGACAACGCAATATTTACTAAAGTTGTCGGTCCTCTCCAGTGGACATGTCAATCTCTCCCAGAGTTGTCGGTCCTCTCATTTGGACATATCAATCTCTCCAAGACTTTTCGGTCCTCTCCAGGAGACATAACAATCTCTACCAGAGTTATCGGTCCTCTCCATGGGACATAGCAATCTCTACCAGACTTGTCGGTCCCCTCCAGTGGACATAACAATCTCTACCAGAGTTATCGGTCCTCTCCATGGGACATAGCAATCTCTACCAGACTTGTCGGTCCCCTCCAGGAGACATAACAATCTCTACCAGAGTTATCGGTCCTCTCCATGGGACATAGCAATCTCTACCAGACTTGTCGGTCCCCTCCAGGAGACATAACAATCTCTACCAGAGTTATCGGTCCTCTCCATGGGACATAGCAATCTCTACCAGACTTGTCGGTCCCCTCCAGGAGACATAACAATCTCTACCAGAGTTATCGGTCCTCTCCATGGGACATAGCAATCTCTACCAGACTTGTCGGTCCCCTCCAGGAGACATAACAATCTCTACCAGAGTTATCGGTCCTCTCCATGGGACATAGCAATCTCTACCAGACTTGTCGGTCCTCTCCAGGAGACATAACAATCTCTACCCAGAGTTATCGGTCCTCTCCATGGGACATAGCAATCTCTACCAGACTTGTCGGTCCCCTCCAGGAGACATAACAATCTCTACCCAGAGTTGGCGGTCCCCTTCAGGGGTCATTACAATCTCTACCCAGAGTTATCGGTCCTCTCCATGGTACAACGCGATCTCTACCCAGAGTTGGCGGTCCCCTACAGGAGACATATCGATCTACCCAGAGTTGGAGGTCCTCTCGGTCGTCTATTAACGGCCAAAGCCAATATCCTTGGCAAAATCTGTTATTTTGACCATATAAATACATTGCAGTCTCAGCACAATTTTAAATATATTCTGTCATTCTGTGGAGAATACCCACAGCAAGTTAGATAAAAAAAAACTATTATGTTTAATTGCACTTTATTTAAGACATACAGGTACTTTTGCATGCTTGACCCGTACAAAATTGTCATTGACAAGAGAGATAACGGTCCTCCCCATAGGACATGGAAAACTCTACTTTAAGTTGTCTGCCCACTCGAGAGGAGAAAGCAAATTCTACCCAGAGTTGTCTGTCCTCTCCAGGGGACAACGCAATATTTACTAAAGTTGTCGGTCCTCTCCAGTGGACATGTCAATCTCTCCCAGAGTTGTCGGTCCTCTCATTTGGACATATCAATCTCTCCCAGAGTTGTCGGTCCTCTCCAGTGGACATGTCAATCTCTCCCAGAGTTGTCGGTCCTCTCATTTGGACATATCAATCTCTCCCAGAGTTGTCGGTCCTCTCCAGTGGACATGTCAATCTCTCCCAGAGTTGTCGGTCCTCTCATTTGGACATATCAATCTCTCCCAGAGTTGTCGGTCCTCTCCAGTGGACATGTCAATCTCTCCCAGAGTTGTCGGTCCTCTCCAGTGGACATGTCAATCTCTCCCAGAGTTGTCGGTCCTCTCATTTGGACATATCAATCTCTCCCAGAGTTGTCGGTCCTCTCCAGTGGACATGTCAATCTCTCCCAGAGTTGTCGGTCCTCTCCAGTGGACATGTCAATCTCTCCCAGAGTTGTCGGTCCTCTCATTTGGACAAATCAATCTCTCCCAGAGTTGTCGGTCCTCTCCAGTGGACATGTCAATCTCTCCCAGAGTTGTCGGTCCTCTCCAGTGGACATGTCAATCTCTCCCAGAGTTGTCGGTCCTCTCAATTGGACATATCAATCTCTCCCAGCGTTGTCGGTCCTCTCATTTGGACATGTCAATCTCTCCCAGAGTTATCGATCCT